GAATGCTCGGCTTAGACTTGAACTTGAAAGAAATCTCGAGGGCTCGACTCCTCGTAAAACTACATTCATTGGGGTCATGTCTTAGTGTCTTAACATGGAACTTATTCTTATTCTTATACTTATACTTATACTTATAATCATACATAAGCTTTAGAAAAACGTTGCTCGCTTGGCTTCGCCTCGCTTGCATTCTTTTGAAAACATTCTTACTTAAAACATTTGGACAATCGAACTCTTAGCTTGCTTGCTTACGGATACTATTCTAATCGCCTAATGTTCATCATGATCTCACTCAATGCTTTACAGCTCATACATATCACATAAGCATGCTTTATAAACAATAGACTCACTTAAACAATTACACTTAATTCTTTGACAAAACTTAACACGTGCTGCATTTTTAAAACGAGCACATCTTTAAACATACAAGTCGCATTAACATGATTCAAGTCTCATAATGCTCCTACGACATGGTACTACAACTTCCATTTAGCACTTGAAAGCAAATAAGGTCATATTCATTGTCCAAAACCAGCAAACATTCAAAGCTGAAATGCTGTCCAGAAATTTAAAATAAATTCATGCGCAGTTTTACGAAAATAGGTATCATTCACTACTCCGACCATATTTTTTCTTGATTCTAGAACCACATAAAAGATAACACATAGAAGTACAATTTCAATGAAGACTTCAGGTTCATTTGAGCATATTATCACATCATAAACACACAAAACATTTAACCTAACTGCAGTCGAATTAAAGAAAAACTGCTCTCGCAGTCAATTTTGTAAAAATCATAACTCATTCGTTTTAAGTCGAAATTGCACGATTCCAAAGCTCACGTAAAAACAACTGCACGAACTAAATATCATATGAAGAACTCGAAAACCGAAAACACAATCTCAGGAGCCTAAACTGCTTCCGAACAGACAGCACGAAAATGACAATTACACATGAAATCATAACCTAATTATCCGAACTTCTTAACAGGTCGAAAGCAATATATAATTGATGATTCTAGGCACGTTTATCACACAATAAGACACAATTATGAACAAATAAATTGACAACAATAAACCCTATTCACATATCATTAAAACAATTCTTTCGGAAGTCCGGCAAGGCTCCGACCAATTCCAACTCAACAATAACTCAACAATTATTTACTCGGACCTTAAGCAAGCATACGAGATTCGATTATCAAGTCTTAACACATTAATAATTCTTACGATATTATCCGAATTCAAATTAACAGTCCATAAGAGGTCAAGACGTTAGGGTTTACCGCTCGGATAAAAGAACAACGGTAGGGTTCGAAAGGGGGCTCGCGGCTAGACGGTGGACTGCGGTTGCTGATCGGGATAAGGAGCCTGCGCGCGACATGGAGGGGCTGCTTGGGAACGATGAAGGTGGCTTGCTGCGTGGTGGCTACGGCTTGCGTCGGGGCTCGCCGGCTACGGTTGACGCTCCGACGGAACTCTACGGGGCTTGACGGCTACGATGGGTACTCCGACGGAACTCCTCGGGTCCCGACAGCGTTGCTTCGAGGAAAGCTGCTCGTTGCTGCGCAAATCGCCGGAAAACGCAGAGAAAGGGCGGTGATTGTTGCTTACGGTGGTGGCTCGCGGAGAGGGAGGAGGACGACAGTGCTGGTCGTGGGTGGTGGTGGCTTACTGCGGTGGCTGTGGAGCTCTTCGCCGGCGATGATGGAGGGTCTGTGGCGGGGCTGGAAGTTGAAGACGATGGGGGATGATGATGATAGATAATGAAGGATGTGATGATGATCGGTTTTAGAGAAAGAGTGTTGCTATTTTTTTTTCTTTTTTTTTTTGTTTTTGTTTTTTTTTACGAGAGGGAGAGACGAGAGATAAGAGAGAGTTGAGAGATATTTAATGGGATTGGTACCGTATACAATAGGAATTCTTTGCACAATAGAACTAGGAAACTGATAAAAATTAGGAGTCCTGTTACTTGGATGAGGGATGAAAATATCGTAAGTCTTGAGCTTTCATCTGGCTTAGGAAAATTGGACTGTTATTTGAGCTCAGTTTATCATCTTAATATTTATTATCTTCATTAATAAAGTAAAATTATATTATATTAATTAAATTAAATTAAGTCATTTATAATTAAAATTATATTAACATAATTGCATATAATACTTAGGAAAATTAAATAGATGAGGACATCTAAATAATTCCCTTTTTAATCATTAACTTGATAATTAAATAAGTGTGGACACTCACTTAATCATCACATAAAAATCGAGCTTACAATAAAAAAAATAACATTGTAAATCATTAAATTAAACATAAATAATATCCATGAAAATAATACTAAGCATAAAATGAACGACATGAGTTTGGGGTGTTACAGATATGAAGGATTTGGGTGAAGTAGGACATGTTCTTGGAATCAAGGTCATTAGCGACCGAGAGACGAGAAAGTTGTGCCTATCCCAATCCACATACATAGACACTGTCCTAAAGCGTTTCAACATGCAGGATTCCAAGAAAGGGGATTTACCCTTTCTGCACGGAATACCTCTATCTAAGAGGATGTCCCCGAAGAATCCTCAAGAGGTAGAGGACATGAAGGCAGTTCCTTATGCATCGGCAGTAGGAAGCCTCATGTATGCTATGTTGTGCACGCGACCTGATATTTGTTATGCCGTGGGAATGGTAGCAAGATATCAGAGTAATCCAGGACCAGAACATTGGTCTGCGGTAAAGCATATACTCAAGTACCTACGTAGGACTAAGGAGTACATGTTGATTTACCAGGCAAATGAATTTCTTCCATTGGGTTACACCGATTCTGACTTCAAGGCAGATCGGGACGAAAGCAAGTCAACCTCAAGGTTTGTGTCTACTTTAGGAGGAGGAGCCATAGTATGAAGGAGTGTCAAGCAGAAATGCGTGGCGGACTCAACCATGGAGGCTGAGTATGTAGCAGCCTTAGAGGCAGCGAAAGAAGCTGTCCGGCTCAGGAATTTTCTCCTCGACCTTGATGTGGTACCGAGTTTGCCCGCTGCGATTACAGTGTTCTGTGATAACAGTGGAGCAGTAGCAAATTCGAAGGAGCCACGGACTCATAAAGCGAGTAAACACATAGAGCGCAAGTACCACCTGATACGAGAAATCGTTGGACGAGAAGAAGTCGTTGTGTCCAAGATACAATCAGAGGACAACCTAGTAGATCTTTTTACGAAGAGCCTACTGGCAAAAGTCTTTCCAAGACACGTAGAAGGAAAGAGAGTCAGATGTTAGGGCAACATAGTAGACTAGTCTTTGAGAATTAGATTGAAAGAAATTGTGGTTATTTTGTTTACCCATGAGCTTATAAAGCATAAGTGGGAGATTGTTAGAGGTATGTTGTAAAAGCGATGTTTTGCAAATTCTATCAATTCCATTTTGATCTGTCCATCATGTTTCGATCAAAGTACATTGTTTGCAGTTTATTTATTTATGCAATACATACTCCATGTCTTATATAGAGGTAATGTGGTTCGAAGAGTTTTTAAAAGAAAGATCACCTATCGGTTCCTTATAAGACTAAACTATTCGTTCACAGTCTAGACTGGCAGTGAGACCCCACTTGGAAAAAGACTGTAGTGTATTCTTGATTCAGTT